ATCCTACAGCACCAAACCAGGAGTCAGACATTAGTAGTACATAGAAATATTTATGAAAATTAATAATTTAAATATCGTATTCCTGTTCCCAGTATAAACAGATGCACACAGTTTAGAACATGCTTCTGTGGCTGATTTTATTTTACTTAAGCACACACATATAAAAGAAATAAATGCTTTCTGTTTTAATGATTTCCTGGCTTTAGTTCTGAAACTCTTGACTGGGCACGGAAGGATTTGACCCCAAGTTGCATGAGAGTTGAAAAGGAGGTGGCAATGATCATTCACATTTCTGGGCCTATGCCCATGTGCAGGCTCCATGCCAGAGATGACTCTGGTATTCTGCAAAGGGGATGTTTCCCATTCAAGCTTTTATTTGAGAAAACAGGAGAACAGCTCTGCATGAGTTAGCACTTTGAAACTTGGGAAATATGAAAGGAAAACAGCGACCACATTTTTTTTTGTGTGTCTGTGAAACAAGAAAAAGAGCTGGACAATAAAAACAAAATTCTCATCAGTTTTTATATCTTCTTTGGTTAACACTAGACTGAGCAGTGCTGAACCACAATGAAAGAGTACATTAAATATAAAACACATACGACAATGTTGGGGTACAAAAGAAGAAAACGTTTATAACTCAGCAATGTGGTACCATCATAAGTTTTCTGAAATCCTGTATGGGATTTCCATCATAAGTTACTGTTTCTCCATCATAAGTTACTGAAATCCTGTATGGGAATTTTCAATCTTCTCCAGGAATCAGTTAACAGTTTTCAAGACTTTGTTATCAATGGCATTTGAATCTAAAATGTAAAATTCTCTGCACAGAGGATTCATGGTAGATAAAGGCCTAGGAGGAGACCTGGTGGCACAGTGGTTAAACAATCAGCTGCTAATCAAAAAATCGGCAGTTCAAACCCACCAGCTGCTCCGTGGGAAGAGAGAGATGGCAGTCTGCTTCCACAAAGACTTACAGCTTTGGATACACATAGTTTCAACTCCATCCTATATGGTCCCTATGACATAGAACCGACTGGACTATAATGGGTTGGGTGTTTTGGCAATGGGTTAGAGATTTTTTGGTTTTGTTTGTTTTTGGTTAAAGGTCTATACTTTTGAAAAACTTTCAAAACTGTCCAAAGTATTCAAAAAAACCCATGATTCTACCTGTACTTTTTAAGCCATTTCATGGTAATGCTTTATTATTTAAAAGGCGAATGAATTGTATGTGATTGTGAACACGGAACAGTACCACTATGGATATCAGTGAAACAGTCCATAGTTACAACAAAACTGTTTTTGTGTATTCTATCTATATACCAATAGCCTCTTCTCCAACAAATACATACTCTGAAATTCTTAGTAACTACATAGTAGAAAGCAACTGATGATTCTTAATTAAGTTTCAAATGTGTTTCTTCAGACAGCTGCACACACATGTGTACTAATCTAATTGTTAGTTGCACCTGCTTCAAGTTAGCAATATTTCATAAAGCACATGGAAAGAATGGCATTTTCAAGTGTTAATTTGTTGAATATAAATCTATACTTCCTTTCAATAGCTTATGGCACATATACTACCATACAAAAGTCTGAGGAACACAAATGTGGGTGATTTTGAGTTGCCTGACTGGAAAACAAAAGTGTCTTTTCAATCTACAGTTATGTTATACACTTTCACTTATAACAGAGTGGTTTTCACTGAGAAGTATCTGAATATATTTTTTTCCCAATATTTTATGAAGTACTCTTTGACTCTACCAAGTATAAGAGAAAAGGAGGGGAAAATGCAACTGAAATTGCTTCACACACTGCTGAAAGTTGCAAACAAGGAGTTAAATTGGTGCAGCCCTCTACCACCATACTCATATCGACCACCACCAAAAACCATGATGATTTTTGTTCCTATCTGAAATCTTCAGTTTCTGAGTATTAAAGAGAGCAATGATAAAAAGAAAATTACCTCCTGGAGATTATGAGCTTAAACTCTGGATTCTGTACATGGAGCAAATCTGCTTCCAGAGATCGCACCCTGTCTCTTAGGAATCACCCTAAAATCTAAAATTATTCTAGCCATACAGCTAAAAGATTTCCATTTATGATATAGAGGTATAGACACTTTTTCAGAAAATGAAAGTTTTTGCTGAATCCTAAGGTATGAATTTCTAAATTACTGTGCTATAAACTGATTTATTGATTTAAAAAGAAAAAGTATACGCACTATCCATACTTGTAGTCTACCAAACACCACATTAAATGCACATTTACATAACTAAAAGCAAAGATGTACAATTCTAACAGGTAGGTTCTCTGGAGGATCTGTGTATGTCCTTTACTGATTAAATAATCAAAGCCCTGTGTCTGCTCTGAGCATAACCTGATGAATTGGTCTCCATCTACACAATACCAAAAGCTCTCTCCCCCTCCCTTAAGATTAGCTGCAAGCTGACCAAAAGATAAATATTACTTTAAATTCAATTAAAATCTAAATACTGTTTTTACAGAATTTGAGATTATTTTCAAAAACTTAATAAAGTTGGACACTAGCCTAACTTTGGCTTTGACTAAATATACTAAGATTTTTCTGTACAGCTACAAAAATGCCACATCCATATGTTACAAGAACACACGTCAAACACTTCAGAAGTAAGCAGAACTGGGCGAACTTTTATGTCAATCAAAGGAGTACAAAAAAGTCATACTTATTCTGAAAACTGAACTCAAAGATACAAAAAGTTTTCAAGATAAATTTGCCTAGAGCAAAGAAAGACGTATATACCTATCCATTTTTTAGAGCAGTGTTTTACAATTATCAATGTGCAAAGGAATTAATTTAATTAAAATTAAAAACTGTATTTTTAAGAAGCAATAAATACCATCAATCTTTAAGTTCCTCTAAGATGTGATCATCTCACTCTATGAAACCAGTTGAATTTTCTTCATCCTTTGTTTTTGTTCTGCATCTGCATTAACATGGCTGCTAATTATATTACCCTGGTGACACATAAAGTCTGAATGGTGGGAAAAAAATCCCATGATTCTTAGAGAGTACAAAATACTCCTTAGGATTCAAATATGTAATTGTAGATTGAATACTCCTAGGTTATAGGTACCACTAATTTGTTAGTGAATCACGCTACGCTGTGATTCAGAATTTGGTTTTTAAGTTACATAGCACCTCTCCAATGTACCATTGCATGCATGCACACACACATGCATGTACCTACAGCCGCACGTGAGCACAATAACACTGGAAAACAAATCTTTAGCTTGGTCATGTTACTTTGTGTATTTAACTTTTCCCACTTATATACTTGTATTTTTCTGGAACTGTTTACGTTCTTGAGGAGTTCGTAATCATAAAAAACAACAGCATATAGATCTAATGCGTATATTTTCAGTAATTACACACTTCCACGCTAAATGACTAAAAATTACATCACATTAAAAAAAATTCTGCATGAATGCTCTTACCCACCCACTCATCCTCAAAATATCACCAGTGAATTAGCAAATGCATTCTTTTCTGAATCATATGTAAATATATGATTGTTTTAAAATTAGTTATACAATGTGGCATTTGGCATATTGGGCCTAATGAGTAGTATTCCAATGTAAACTTTCATTGTTTTAGTTAGCATTACCATTAAGAGCCTTTACTGTAAAACTTAAATCTGTCATACAGAAAAATAAACCGCTTTACCCATCATTGAGAAAATATTACATCCTTAAATTATGTTTAGACCTCTATGTTCTTCTTCATATCAGCAAGTGCATAAGTAATTCATAGATCAAACTGTGTATCATCAGATAACTTTCCTGAGAAATAAAAACACGCGGAGACAACAGACAACAAAAACATTGCTTCAACTGAAAATTAAACAACAGCCAGCACACACAGACTTTCTGACAGCTTAACGATAAAGAACACTGTCAGTTCCAGATACAAATTTTCACTTTTTTGAACACTTTACTAATTGGAATGTCAGAGATCTCCTTCAGTCTAGTAGCTCTTTCAGTCTTTATAAAACAACTGTTGGAAATTTAGCTGTTCGAAATAATTTATACTTTCCATGGAAAGCTATTTAATAACAGGAATAAACAAGTACCTCTTACCCCAAATTAACCACTTAGGGTAAGATTTTTCACCTCTAAACTCTATCCTCAACCCCTCTTTCCATCGCCCTTACAGAACTCAAATTCAGTGACACGACGTTTTCCATTACTGATTTCTTACTTCTTTACAACTGTACAACATTCCTCAAAAAGTATATATAATACTACATCCTACGGAATCAAACAATATGATTTATTTCAGGAGTGCAATTACAAATATTATATGAAATAGAATATTTTCCTCTTGAAATTATTTTAAGACATTGTGATTTAACGGTTACCAGTTCAGACTATGGTAACGGTGTTGCAGAGTTCAACCAAGTATTTCTCTTTAATCCATATACTTTTTAAAACGCAATGTCGCTTCTAGATCAGACTGCTATATTAACTACCCTAAATAGGGGTCTGTTAGAGCAACAGACTTACAAGACAATATATTTCTAAAAATACAACACATGTGAATGAAGAAACAAAGATACTGCAAAAATGAGCCCATGAAAAAAAGTGGACAATTCCCTATTTGTATTTTAGCACCTGTACAGTAAATTAAATGTGGCAAGCACGTTGTTACATTAACAGAAATGCAATGCATAAAGGAACAAGAGCTATACCTTGCTTTGCTTAAAGAAATTAAAGAAAACAAGTTTAACCCGCACCTGCCAAACTGTCTTCAGAGAGACAGAAATAGGTGGGGGCAGCAGGCTCACCTCTCCTACACCCCACAGTGCGTCTCCAAGAAATCATTTTTAATATAGGCAATAGACCTGTCACCTTTTCTTTTTTTTTTTTTTCCCATTCTAATCAATGGCAGACCCTTTACTGCACTCCTCTACCCACTATCTCAAAGACACATTACAGAATAAGAGGACCCAAGTGTCACTTACCAGTTGCATGCCACAGATAAAGATAAGCGTGCACCTGCCACTGCAATAACCCATGGTTTCCGAGACCCCTGCCACAGCCAGACTGTCCCACGTCGGCCACCGTCGAGCCCCCACTTTATCCAATCAGATCGCTGGGAAGGACAGGCGAACCTGCCGAGGGCTCAGGGGCTCCGGGCTGCCGCTGCCAGCGTCCTGGGAAGTGACAGGCATTAGGACCTGCTAGTGCGGCGGTGGCGGCAGCTCCAGCCGCACCCGCCACACATACCTTCACTCGCTCGATGCACACGCCGCGCCGCGGGAAGCGCCGCCCGCGGAGACGCGCCCGGGGCCCGCAGGAGCAGCAGCGGTAGCCTCGCAGCGCCGCCGCGCCCTCGGGCATCTGGCCCCGAAGTTTCGCCCCCGCCGCTCCACACGGCGACTCGCCCCACGCCCCCCAGCGCGGCCGCCGCCCGACGCGCACTAGCCCTGCGCTCTCAGCGCGCCGGCTCCGGGGGCGACAGAAGAGCGCGCGGGGCGCTGCCCGCCTCTCTGCGCCGCCCGCGCCTCCTCTGCGCCCGATGCTGCGGAGCCCAACGGGCGGGGCGGGGCGCAGGCCGGGCGGGGGCGTCCGGACTCGGCGTCCCGGGCGCTGGCGGTGGCGGGGGGTAGCAGCGATGCCTAGTCCCGCCGCGTCCCTGCTGCGGCGCTGCCCCTCCCCTCGGCCAGATGTGTTAATCCTCCTCCAACAAATCCTTCAGCCTGCTCCCGCCGCCCCCTCCCGAAGCATCAACTTCTCCGAGCTCGGCCGTGCCTACCGCCGACGCGCCTGCTGGCGATGGTGTCTGGGCGGGAAGGAGCGGCGCGGGCGCTGCGGGGCCGCGGGACGAGGAGCCCGGGCAGCATAGCTGTGGCTGCTCGGCTGGTTTCCGCAGTGGAGCCCTCAGCACTACACGCGAGCCGTGCGCCGCGCGCGCGCGATTGTGTGTGTGTATGTTGAATTGGACGAGGAGGATTAGGGAAGAGGGTGGGGTGACCAAACCGGGGTGCATCAGAGGCCTCCGGACCGGTCGGAAGCCTGAGTGGCCCAAGGAAGCAAGAAGGACGACTCGGCCTCCGATGCAGTGCTCGCCGCCCAGAACCGGCCGGTTTCCCAAGGGATCTGCAAGGGTCCAAGCGTGGAGAAGAATTAACGCGGCAGTTCTTCCAATTGGAGAGGCATTGGTTTGCTTTAGGAGTTAGTAGGAGAATTAATCAGAGGGAGTGGGGGACATAGTAAATTTTCACTCAAACTTGTTTGTTTACAAAAGAATATTAAAGAATTAGGGACAATTTTAGCACTCAATGCGTCAGCTTCACGGGCCGTCCCGACTGAGTGAATTCCCGGCGTTAGATACTCCAGGCTCTGCTCTGCAGCGCCCGCCACAAGCTGTGCTGCGGCCGCTGGTTACCTGCTGAGAGACACGCTTTGGAGCCCGCTGCTGCCACCTGCGGGCGGCATGCGAAAGGGCACAGCAAGCTCATCTAGCTGAAGGCCCCAAGGGTCTGGGTATTTGGGGACCAAGAATAAAGTTTCCTGTACATCCCAAGCAACTAGTGAGAGCATCCCAGCCGAATTTCTTTATTAAGTGAACATGCGATGTTGAGATTAGCAGGATCTCTGAATCAACGGAATGAAATGGGGGTAAATCGATTCCCAAGCTTGCGGAAAAGTAGGGTTTAGGACGCTACATAAGAGTTCCTGAATGGCACCCAAGGCTCAGCACTAAAACATTGGCAGTTCACACCCACCCAGAGACTCTTTGGAAGTAAGGCCAGGTCATCTATTTCTAAAAGGTCACAACCTTGAAAATGCGAAGGAATATATGGGATAGGCCATGAATCCAGCCTACTCGACCACAACCAACAAGAAGATAAATAGCCAGCTTTTACACAACGTCTTAAGACATTAAGATTGATGAAACCATCAAGAACTTTCCATCTCAAATGGGATTTGAATTTACCGAGGAATTGACATTGTGTAAGATAGTTATACTTGAAACCTCAAATAACCCCAGGTGATTGTTTTCTTTGTATAAATATGACATTTTATAATGCCTAAAGAAAATTGAATAGGGCATAGAGACCCCATTCTCCAGAAGTTTGGGATTGAATTTTCAGAACTGATTTCTCAGTCTCAGAGAGTTGAAAGTGATTTGATTTGTTAAATTTGCTGAACACAGATGTTTCATTAGAATTTGATAATGTTGTTGTTGTCAAGTGCCGTCGAGTCAATTCCGACTCATAGCGACCCTGTATAAGGTTTCCGAGGAGCAGCTGGTGAGCTTGAACCGCCGACCTTGCAATTCAAAGGGCTTTGCAGTCTGATGCATTAACCCACAGCGATACCTACTCTTAATTACCCCATTTGTCAATTTGCTTTCCTCGGAAAAGTACGTTTCAATGTTTAATGTAATTTGAACAGCCAAATATGTGCTCTTACCTACTGTAGTGCCCGGTGGGTAATGGATGTTCACCCTCTTGATGGAACTGATGCCTGGAATAGTAGGGAAAGTGATTATCAACAAGTCTGGACATCTAGTCACAAATGTTTCTTTTAGTTGTTTTTTGTTTTTGTTTTCCTTTTGTCTTTACACATAAGAAAACACTGTTCTGTAGATGCTGGAGATGGAAGTACTTTGCCATACCAAACAAAAAACCCTTGCAAATTATTGCTGAATGGTGAAGATGCTGCTACCACGTTGCCAAGATGATTCTATTACCTTTTCTTATTCATAATAGCAATAATGCATTTTGATGGACCCATCCGTAATCTTGTCATGGTCTCCCTGCAACCAGAAGCCACATTAGAAAAAGTATAATGAATGCTTTCTGACTGCCTCTGAGCCCTACCCATAGTTCCTCTTAGCTCTAGAGTGAAGTTACAGCCCCAGGAACAGTCCTCCTTCAACAGCCCACTAGAGTTGGTGTATAAATACTCCATCTTCCACAATTATCTGATAAGAAATCTAAACATGCTCTTGTCTACACCATTAGGATTCCCACATGGATTCAGCATTAATCACCCATAATATTAACTCTTTTATTCACACTAGGTTAGATTCCTTCCTTTTCTTGCCTCATTTCCCCAGCAGTGCTTTCTGGGATCACTTTCAAAATCAGAGTTCACACAAATTCTTGTGTTAAGAGTTTGCTTCTTGAGACACCCAATTTAGGTTTTGTTCCTAATCTGACATCATTGGCAAAGTGTTCTCATGGGAGGGAACCAGAAACATGTAGAAAGTTGAACATTTACGGGAGTACTGGTGTGGTGCTGTGGGTTAATGTGCTGGCCTGCAAAAGTTGGTTCGAACTGCAAGACTGGTGGTTCAAGCTCACCATCTGCTCGAAAACCATATACAGGGTCTCTATGAGTCAGAACTGACTCGACGGCACTTAACTATAACAGCAGCCACAGTCTTATGCACTATATCTACATTATCCTCATCACTTTGACTTCTTCACATTCTATTTTTTCACAAACTTTTGGATGCCTCCTCCTACTGGCTAGCCTTAGAAGGAAGGATTATGCGACTGCCTCATATACTTTGGACTTATTTTCAGGAGGGAAACCTGAAAATTGGTTCAAATTCCATTTTAAAGATATAGAAACTACAGGTTTAAAGAAATCAAGTACGTATCTTCGTTATAGATGCATGTGTTCTCAGTAGCAGGATTTTAGTGACATATCTGTGTGACACCAAAATCTGTTGTCCAGATTACTGTACTGTTAAACACTGTAGGTATTCTTTTGAAATTTCATGGAAAATGTTTTATTTAAATATGTATTAGAAGAAAGATTAAATCCTGCTTCAATTGATCTACTGTAATGGTCTACTCAAATTAGTCAACTACTTCTTCTATTTTTTCCCCATATAGAAGAATGATCACATATATTTGTTATGGGTAAATGAAATCTACATCACACCCTTCAGAAATGTGTTACCAGCAATGCCTCATTTATGAACAGGTGCTGTATTTAGGAATGCAATTCCATCCCTGAAGGTGGCTGTGCCCTTCCTCCATTTCCTATTATCCCTGGATCCGATTTCCATAGAAGAGACAAGAGAGACTCCCAACTCTCTCATAGACATGCATGAAGGCAAGAGATAGACTTACTTCATTTAGTATATACTTATTTCATATACTACTCCATTCTACAATGTCTTAAGGGCTTTTTGTTGTCTTATCTGGGGACATGACTATTGTTAATTACTTAGTTTCTATGGGGAAAAAATGTGTTACTTATTCCAAACCTCCATCTGTTTTACTTTGGTCCTGCTTTAAAGTGTTTCTCAAGGTTGTTTCATACCTATTGCCTCACTGACCTCTGAGAACAACTCATGGAATGCAACTAAAGTGAAGCCCAGTTCCTCCACACTCAGCCGCTTAAGCTATGGTAAAAACCTCAAGCCTGACTTTGTAACACTAGTGAGCAATTTAACTCTGCATTTCACTGTCTTCATTCACTGTCTTTAACAACATAAAATCACAGTCTTTACAATCTCAAAACTTAAAAATGTAGATCATCAAATATTTTATATACATTGAATTGGGGGGGGTTAAAAACAACTACTAGGCAATAACATGTACCTTAAACATTTAAAAAACATAGAATTATATCTTCTAGCCAATGAGATAATTTATCGTTTATGTACAATTTTTTTAAAGGGGGATTACAGCATACAAAATGTATATTTAACCCAATTATTTCACATAACTAAATTATGAACGTCCAAGTGATGAACTATTGAACATATGACTTCTGCAGCCAGACAGCCTCCATTCATAATCTAAACTCTGCCACTTACTATGTGGTTTAGTATCACCGAGTCGGTCCTGACTCCTAGCAACCCTGTATAGGTTTTCGGAGGAGCAGCTGGTAAGTTTGAACCACCGACCTTTCAGTTAGCAGTCCAGGGCTAATCCTACAGCATTATACTAAAACCTGAGCAAATTACTAAAATCTCTGTTTTTTTGTTGTTGTTTTTTGTTGTTTTTTTCTATAATGTAGATAGAGTGTTCATGCATTAAGTGCAAATGATTAATCATCATTATATTGTTGTTAAATGTCATCGAGTTGGTTCCAACTAATATCCACCCTGCATAGGGTTTCTGAGGAGTGACTGGTGTGTTTGAACCACTGGCTTGGTGATTAGCAATCCAGTGCTTATCCTAAGGCACCATACCAAAAATTTCTATGGAATTGATTCTGACTCATAGAAATCATTAAGACCCAGTACAATTGTCCCCACATGCTTCCAAGGTTGTAAATCTTTATGGAAGCAGACTGTCAGATCTTTCTCC